AAAATAAAATAAAATAAAATAAAATAAAATAAAATAAAATAAAAAAATAAAATAAAATAAAGAAATAGTCCGAGGGGAGGCGCCAGGCTGGCACAGCGGCACCCAGCCGTCTATCTATCCATCCTGGCGTCTCCCGGGCGCCAGAAAGTACCCGCACACCACCCAAAGATCTGAAAGTTTCGGTGAGGGATGCGATCATTGCAGTCTTTTGGTGCTTTAGTTGGTGGCTTCGGTACCAAACGAAAGCAGAGAGTGCCATCTACCGAACCATTGCCTGCTGCTGCCCCTTGGTGAGGTGCGGCAGAAGAGCACCAGAGAGAGCATCAATCTGCCTCCAGCCTGTGAGAAAAATAGTTTCATGCATTCTTTCACCCTGTGGAATAATAATCTATGAGAACCATAATGAATGAGTAAACCATTGTCTTGTTTTTGCAGATCTGATTTCGTATGACAGGTCTTGGAAAAGCAGTGCCTCTGCATGCAGAAGGAAAAAGGAGAGAAAGACTACCTTGCAACATTTTGAGATTATGGGAACCACTGGATAATCAAAAGATGGGCTGGGAAATCAAGTAATTCTCAACCCTAGATATGTCAATACCAACTGCTAATGGCACCAGATTCTCAGTGACCTCAAGCTGGAGTTGAGCTTGAGCAGCACACATTTTGGTTTTGTGTCTGACATGAGAAGTAGGTAAAAAAGAAAATCTGATCTGGACCTAGGAGAAATAAACTTACATGAAAGAGTTAAGATCTAAAGAAAATAATGTCCTTAAAATTATATCCCGCGAGAGTCTGAAGTATTTCAATTAGCAAAAGGCACATCAGTGGTGGAGGTGTTGCTTCAGTAACAATTCACACTAAAGTGCCACATCAGACATTTCACCACTCCATACAAAGCATACAAAGCATAAACCAGCATGACCAGGGAACACTCTCATGTTCCTTTTACCAAAGGTTTTGATCTCTACAACCAGAAACTCATTAAAGACCTCAGAAATGTCTCCTTTATTCTAACTCTGAAGCAATTGCATTGTTACTGCTGTTAATTGAGTTTGATCCCTTGCTTCAATATATCTTTTAAATGTGGCCTGTCAATTCCTACTAAATTCTGTGTACACAACCAAAGCCTTGCTTGCATATAATCCAAGAGGCTTCTTAACCTCTGGAATGGACCTTAGTAGCCATTCAGGGGACACTCACCCATGAATCTGCCAGGATTAACACACACAACTCCAAAATAACTGGAGATTCTTGTGCTTGGCCCTCACATATTCAGTGCCCAAGCAATGAAAGGACCTTGCAATATTCCGTTTGACCAATGCATAAAAATAAATGTACTGAAAAGAACCTTACCATGAACACAATAACGGGAGCAGAGAGCATAATTTACATTAACACACATTTCAGGTCTGTAATTACATATGTCAACATGAGACCTTTTAAACGATGCCAAGTAAGTATGACATAAGTAGGAAAAAAAGAAGAAAAATAGGTAAGAGTTATAGAAGTTAAATTGTCTATTAGATATAAACTTTAAAGTTACAGACTACGTCTTCTTTACTATAACTAATGATAGAAAATACAGCATCTGGCACTCCACTTACAATTAAAAAATAAACTGAAGTACAGCTCATTGCACCTGCACAGAACTGAAAAGAATTCCCAACACTTCTTATTATAAAAAGATGTATAATCAGTAGCTGAAACATCATTGATCCTCCTGTACAATGTATATATATTAATTCTCTTTGCAAAAACCCCAAACATGTTATAGCCCTGAAGACACTTCAAAAACATAACAATATCACAGTTATTTTGAAGAAATAGTCCTAAAAATACTATTTTCAATCAATAAGGCTGTGACTAAATCTTCTGACATGGAGCACAATCAGAGGTGACTCACTACAGAAGTCAGAAGCAATGTGTTTAGAGCCCCAGCTCTGAAGCTGTGTCTGCTGATCCACTGATTCTTCCTTCTTCTGCCTGTCAAGCTCACACATCTTCCTCTGCTTCTCACAACACAGCATCAGTGTGCAATCCACAAACCGGCACAGGACACAGACAGCAACGTCTGTGCTGGGTTAGACCAGAGGTTCATCCCTGAACTGTTTCCAGTTCCCATCTACACCTTCTGGAGATGGGGGATCCAAACCTGCACAGTCTGCAGAACACAGACCAGATTCAGATGTCAGCTACAGATTCATACAGGGACAAAGCAAAGATCCTATTTCCTTTACTCCTTTCCCAGTACTGCCTCAGATTTGAATCACTTCTGTCTTCTGAACATTTAGCAGCCATTTTTAGGGATCATTCTCTGCTGCTTCCTGTTTTTCATCTTCTGATCAGTTATTTTTCCATGCAATAGCCTTTCACTTCACGCCATGGCCACTAAGAAAGCCTCTTGGAAATCCAAGCTTTTGTTCACCCCACCATACATACAAGCCTCCCTGGTCCTCCATCCAGGTACCACTACCACAAAAGACTCATAAAGCTGTCATCTGAACAAAGTTACACTAATCATTTTTGTTCACTAAGTCATTGCTTTCAATAATTACTTTAGCTCAATCTTCAGAATAAAATGTGTGTTACCCCCATAGCTCTTTTGCACCTTGATCTTCTTTAGTCAAAAAGAAAGATTTGTTCCTGCAGGTAGGTGCCACCCACCCGGTTACCAGGGTTTTCACTCAGCCTCCTTCCTCCTCTTGGGCATCACTGTTCGTTTGCACTGATACAGTATCAGAATGTTTGACCTCAAATACTTTTAGAAAGGAACCATGTTTCCGATTTTTTTTCAGCATGCTTAGCAGCCTTGTGTGTTCTGCACTGGCTGCAGACATTCAATAATATCAGTTCAGAGTTCCACTCATTCATGCGGTACTGAGATCACCTGAACAAGCTACATACTGTTTAACAAAACAATCAACATAAATCTGCCCATCTCTCCATTCCAAACTATGCGGAGTTGAACAAATCCCTCTTAGGAGGTTCAGAAAAGGTTGTCCAACACCATAGTTTCCTGAATTATTTGCCAGCTTTATTTTCAGCTACAATACTGCTAGAAAAGTTGTTCTTGCACTTTCCTCGTCCTAATCAGGAGCAGGAATTGGTGAAAAACTTAGGAACTGGTGAAATTATTACAAACAAGACTACTTGCCTTCTGAACCCCAAGGATGCAAAGCACTCCTGTAAGCTTCAAGATTTCTGTGTACCAAGGTTTTAAAGTTTTTGACACACCAATTTTTAATACTTAGCCATTGGCAGTCAGAACTTCTAGCCAACAGTCTATCTCCATCTGTGGCCATAAGGGGATGCTTAGGTAACAGCAGAAGCAGGGTAAGTAAATGTGATACTTTATTTGAACCTCTTTATTAGAACTTGGATCCTGCTAGTTCCATTT